AAGAGGCGTGGGGTGTCCCAGATGGCAGGGCAAAGCATCAGGGTCTGCCAGGCAAAAGCTGCTCTGCAAACTGTGCCAGCGGGTATTGACACAGGACAAAAGAGTGACTGTGAACTTGAGGCCATGCTGCAGCCAGAAGAAAGGAGCTGCGGTGACAGAAACGGCCCGCAAACGCCAGGCTCGGAGCCGCACACTGGCAGGCAGCAGCCAGGCCGGTGGCTCCGCGGGCTCGCTGCCTGCAGCCCGAGTGCCCTCTGCTGTCACTGCGGGCAGCCCCGGGGAGGCACCGACGGGCACCGGAGGTGTTGGACACTGTCCCTGCGTGCCCCGCAAACAGGGCTGTGCTCACAGCACTGTGCTTCGGCTGCTGCCAGCGAGCTGCAGCCCAGAGCTGCTGGGAGGAGAAAGTCAAGAGGCAAAACTCTCCTCCTCAAAAAATCAGGTAAGCCGGCTCTCGGGCCAGAAGCGTGCTTGTGTGCTTGCTTGGCTGTATCTGGCTTCTCTGTTCCTGTGATGGTCTTGACCATGTCTCTCCTGTTCTGGTTTGCCTGGATACCTTTGCTTTACCTGCAGGCTGCTGCAGAAGGAGCTCAGCTCTCTCAGGCAGTAGTTATGCTTTCCAACTTCCTTGAGACTTCCCAGTTGACCTCACTACAGCTGTTCTCTCTCTAACTCCAAAGTGCCTCCCCTGTAGGAAAGCATCTTTAGGCCCTTATTTTCCCAATAACTAAGGAGGCTGAGAAGCACAGGGCAGTCACTGCCCCAAGGACATCAGGAGGAACTGGATGGAAGGAGAGGCAGGAATCAGGTTAGCTCAGTGCCAATGCTGCTCACCTGTGGATGTTGTTTTTCCCTGAGATTATCTGTATGGTGTGGGACAGCCATGGAGGAGGTGTGGGAATGACTGTGTCCGAGCTGCAAAGGGAGGTGTGTGTCTGGGGATATTTCTTTGCTAGCCCGGTGTTTTCCACTAGAGTTTTCTACTCCGGACAGGCTTGTGGGCTCAAATGCAAGGATAAGTCACTGGCTTTCCATCCCACTTGTGACCATACTCACCTCAGCTGCAGCTTTAGGCGAGAAGCTTCTGCTGTGGGTGGACTGATGCCCTGCTGTCCTGGCTTCCAGGAGGTGCCATTCCCAGCCTCTATAGGCTGTTTAATTTAGGGGGAATCAATCTCCTAAACTATCCTCCTTTTACAGCTGGCTGGAACAGCTGGACTGTGAGCAACAGGGAATTGTCAGACTTTTATTTTGTCTTTTTTTCTCCCCCATCCCAGTCTTGAGTGCCTGGTAGGGAAGCAAACTCTTCCATCTGTCCACAGACCCCCCAGGTAGGTAATAATAAATGCTTCGTATAGAAAAATTCAATTAGATTTGACAAGAGATGTATGCTAGTGCTTCCTTGCCAGGGCCCCATCTTGCTCTATTCTGTTCCTCTGCAAGAGACTTGCTGTAGAAGCTATTATGAAAAGAAAAAGGCTTTTAAGTATAATGGCAGTTTTAGCCAGGACTGGCTGTGGTGGGATTTGTAGAAAAGAAAATTACAGTGGGATCTTGTACAACTGCAGCCACCAAGATGCAGTTCTACCCAGGAGATGTGATGCCAGCTGCTGAGAGCAGGAAAGGGCTGTGTGGAGGGAGTGCTGGATCTAGGGCTTCTCTTAGTGCCTCTGAGTATTAAAGCTCCCAGGGTAAGAAGTGTGTTCATGGCGGTGTCTTGGCCAAAAGTGTGTAGTTCATGGCTTAATCTCCCTATCCAGTTCTTACTGTCCAGCTGTTTTGTTCTAACGTGGAGTGTTTTGGAGGACACTTCCATTCTTTGCTCGGTGTAGCTCACTACTAAGCTCAGCAGTGCTCTGCCCCGGAGGTGGCTGGGGTGCACTGTGGGTTTGTGCAAAGGAAATGGGAGCTCTTTCTACAGCTCTTGGTGCCACGCTCAGGACTGGGAGGAGACCATTTGTGTGGTTTTGGTTTTGTTTTTTGTTCAGCATGAATGTTCCAGCAACACTCAATTTTTGTGTTTTAATTCCTGGATTTCTAAATACTTGGAGCCTGGGTGATGTGAATATCTGTTATAAAGTACTTGGGGACAGACCTCTCTCTCCCTGTACGGCACTCATGTCTGCGTTAGCCATCAGTGTTCCCAAAAGCTGCTCCCTAGTTTCACACAGCTGCTTGCTGATGTTGGCACGACAGAAAGCAGAAGGAACCCCCATTTGAAGCTACATGTGATAGAGCCCTTCAGTGACCGAGAGCTTTAATCCTTTTGTCACAGTTGCAGTGACATTCTGTAATCCCATGAAATTGCATTGTCTCGATTTCCATGAAGTCTGGAACATGTGAGAACCCATTAACCTCACACGCTCTGTTCATCTCGGACAGATGAGTTGACATCATCTTGGTACTGGATGTAGGTGTATGGCACAGATTTCAGTGTGTTCAGACTTCTGGTGTTTGATCAAAATTCAAGAGGCATTTGAAACAAAATATTTACAATGTGAGCAAGTTTGTTTTGTTGTTTCTTTCCCCAAGTACCCAGGCACTCACGTGCATTGGGAGTCTCGCACTGACGTGGCTGAGCGCAAGGAGCAATCGCTCCCCGAGGTCAGCAGCAGCTTTTGCAAGCTCTGCAGAGCAGAGGTAGCTGTTCTTTGCAGTGAAGCTGCAAGGCATTGGGTGTCTTGGAAAGCACCTCTTGGAGGTGGGTGAGGTCAGGACAGCTTTGCAGGACGCCCGTGACAGCCATTGTGAACATCAGGCCTGCTGGCATGAGGGGGAAGCCTGGATGTCCCCGGGCAGCTGCGTTCATTTAGCAGAGGGAGCCTGTGTGCATTTAGTAGTTCAGCCTAAAGTGGGGAGCGTGGCCCTACTCTGTATTTACAAGGGACACAATATCTGAATCCTGGGGCTTATCCTGACTGTGAGGTGGGAGCTTAGGAAAGGTTTGGTTTAACAATTGCATCACAGAGTGGAATATTGATCCCCTTGCTGTACTGATTCCTTAAGGACAGATGGAGGCCTCACTTCTGTGGGGCAGAGAGTTGGCAGCGCGTTGAATATTAACTTTTGTCAGCCCCATTAAAGGCTGTGGTGAATACAGCTGCATTGTGCGACAGTGTGTGCAGAGCTAACGGAAGGGAAAGAAATCCTGAACTGGTTCTGCTCTCTCCTAGGTCAGAACCAAGGCTGAGCTCACAGCAGAGCTGCAGTTCCAGATGACCTGGAGGGCATCTGTCAGGGCCAGGCTGTGTAGGAGCCTTCCTGGACCTCCTCTGTGCTTTGCATGAACTCCCACTGGGTTTTAAGTGCACTTCTGCCTGCTGCTGCTCTGCAAACCCATTGCCCATCAAGTGCTTCTGACAGGTTGAGGCTGATGGGTCAGAGAACAGAGCACATACCTCTTTCTGGGAGACTCGTGGTATCATACAAGGTACAACTCCTAGTTTTTGGCTAGAACTGATTGACACTGCTGCACATAAGTGAACAGAAAAAGCATGCTTAAGCACAGGACACAAATACTCAGCACACAAGGGAAGATCCACGCACAACTGTGTTATTTTATTGTATTTGCCTGGACTCTGGGTTGGCGTGGCTGTGGTTTGGAAGGCCAGTGTGCCCTAGGCATCCAGGTGTAGCGGTGCAGAAAGCCTGATGAAGCAGAGCGTGCACAAAGTGACCAGCTCAGAAGCTCTCTCCTTTGGCTACAGGTGACAGTAGTACACTGCACTTTGATGCAAAGTGACATTCAAGTATGTATGTGCTGGCAGCCCAGGAAGGGAAGGCAGACAGATGGACACAAAAATGTAAGTGCCTATCTCTCTAGGCAACACCAGCTCTGTGAAGGGGATGCTGTTCCAAGAGGACCGACTAGCAGGGACAGGCTTGGCTCAGGGAAGCTTAGGTGTCTGTTCAGGGTGGTGGCTCACAGCCCTGAGTGATATCAAGAGGCACTAGTGGGAGTATGTACCAAGTGCTGTCTTGGCAGTGAGCATATGGAACGGAGGCAGACGTGTGCTGTTTGCAGACACTGTTAGGCTGGAAGATCTGAGATCGAGTGGGGGTAACAAAACAGCTTTCTGTGTGAAGAGTATTTCCTGCCTGCAGCAAGTCAGACTGGATGACCAGGGTGCTTGTTGCATCAAAGCACACAGAGGCCAGGAAGGGGTAGATGAGTTTGTTTTCATTTGTTTCTGGAACCCCTCCCCAATTTGCTTCTAACCCATGTCTGCTGAGTCCTTGTCATCTCTCTCCCAGTAGTTACTCTCAGGTGCTGCCTGTTTGAGGAGCCAAATGAAGCCCCAGGGTTGGACACCAGAGAGGTTTTGGTTCCCAACACTTTCCTTGATAAATGAATGCTGGGAACAGCGTAAGAGAAAAGGATCCAATCCCTATTGCTTTGCATTATCATCACTAAAAATTAAACCAGTGACTCAGAATAGCACTTGGTGGCCAAGATAGAGCTCCTGTGAGGCAAGCAATGAAATCTGCTGTTTAGAAATGGGATTCCTACTGCAGGTCATGGGAGAAGTTGGTGACAGAGATGTGAGAGGGCTCTGGGTTTCCTTGGTCTGCTCTCAGACACAAGGTCTATGCTTTTCTTTCTTCCTTTTTTTCTATTCTTTAATTTCAAGAAAATATGCCCACAGTACCCCTTAAAATTAAGGAGTGCCCAAGCCTGGGAAGCAGGCAGGAGGAGTGTCTAGCTTGGGGTTAGGGGCTTAAGAGAGAAGTAAGGTCTGCAGGATTTCTAGGTGGTCTCGTGTCTGATGGAGAGCATCAGTGCAAGAGGTGAGGCTCAGTCTAACGTGATGCATTCACAAATATGTTTTTGCATTCTTTGCATAGTCCTCTTGAGGAAAGCTGGATGGTGGCCCCAGCATCTCGCACACACATTCATACACAGAAAGGTTGTATGCTTTACAGCCCAGAAGCAGCACCATGCAGAAACCATCCAAAGGCCATGGGATGCCCTGAGGGAAGTCAGCTCCAGCATGCAGGCCCCAGCTGAGCATGGCTATGGCTCCACTGTCACGCTGCTGTTGGTAACACGGACGCCGTACCATCCCTTCCAGAATAGCGTGTCCTGGCCACCGTGTTCAAAGCGGATAAAGCGGACCCCAGGCCCATAGTTGGAAAAGGTGTGGGAGATCTTTGGGGTGAGAGACAAAATAGTTGCTGGTAAGCACCAAACTGCCACGAACCCACCCTTCTTTAGCACACAGAGCCTTCAATCCCACCTGCCCGAGTCATACCTGCCAGGTTGGTAACAACAAAGACATTTACAGTGGGAGTTACTAGGGGAGCTTTGATCCCATTGAGGCCACTGAACCTCTCCTAGTTGGTCTTCATCTTACACCTGCAGTGGTGGCTCAGCAAGTTTCCAAATTTTATCTAAGGTAGCCTCCCTCTATGATCCCTTTGTTAATCACAGGGTCATGGTTCTGCAGAGCACACGACAAAGCCTTCTCCTGCTCCAGGAGAACTTTCTTGCTTCTCTCTGCTTGAAAATATTCCTGATTCATGTAGGTTGGGTGTCACCTGCTGATCCCACAGCTATAACTCACCTCAGTCCAGCTGGCATCATTGTCCTCTGGGATGGCAATAGTGTCACTTTTGTACTCAGCCAGAACATCCTCATTCTCTGAGAGCAGCTTCACACAGAGCTCATAGAGGCAGCCGGCATCTCTGCGTCCTGCATACCTGTGAGGAGATCCAAGCTGCTGGTCCTACCTGTATGAACTCTGCAAAGAGCCAGAGCGTGCACCTGCACCTTGCTGACTCCAGGCTCTACTAGTCTCACCAAGTTACTGTGGCCTTGGTTTGAGGTGGAAATCTGTAGTGGTTCTGACCCCAGCCCACCCCCTCCCCTCATTCACAACAGGAACCTGGTCTGTAGAGGCCACATGCACCAACCATTTGAAGCTTGTGGGAGCCGCCTGTGGTGCTGTCAGCCAAGACCCAGCCCTGCCCCATGTTTAGGGGATCCTGGCAGCTGAGGTTTCAAGGCCCAGTGCAGGTATATGCCCTCCCTGCCCTCCCTTCTCTTCCTTGACTCTCTGCCTGCCTTCTGAGGTGTCCTTGCTACTTACCAGTCTTTCACCACAACTTTAGGCTGGGTTGTATCCATCAGCTCTTCCCAGTAGCCCTCAGCCCTAAGGTCAATGACTTGAGCCTTTCGACACCACCTGAAACACAAGATGGTAATTGGTATCACAGTCTCTCCTGGGACTGGGGGAACCAAAAATGTCCCCTTCTCTGAATAAGAGAAGAAAGCAGCCTTACTCATAAGATGTAACAAAGTATTTATGGACTTCTTCACTAGGAAATTCTTTTCCAAAGTCCCCAGGGAGCTCTTCAATTTTCCAGCCATCACCTCCATTCTCTACCTCTCCCCAGTGCTGCAAGTCTTCTGCAAATGGCAGAAAAGAGACTCGAATGAGTCTTAGTTTCTGTGGGCCTGGGGAACCTGACCACCTCCCACGGGAACCTTTCTCTGGCTCGTGAAATGTATCCTGTTAGACACAGCTCTGACTCCATTAGACCGTTAAGTAGAGGTCAGGCAAAAAGCTTGAGTCTGGCTGAACTTAATACTAACAATCCTCAACATTCCCCACCAAAATGGTTACATACACGTGGGTTAAGAAGGTGTTCCAGTGAAACTACTTTGGTATTCTGAACTGTGTCAGCACTTTCAGTGTTGTAAGGTAGGAGTAGCCTGGGGAGAGATGTGGATTGCTTTAGTTCTAAATTGCTGAGTGGTATTTCTAGAGCAGTATGGCCTTAAACATTGGACTTTTCTGGTCTTAGCCAGAGGGAACCTGGATGTTGGAAAAGGTTGCAGAAGAATAATCTGTAAACAAAATGGAGAAGCAGTGTTGATATTGCTTTGGTCTGTGATGTGTGAAATGTATTTGTTGCTGCTTGGGTTGTGAGGCTTGGTTACTGCTGCGTATCGCTAAGCATCCTGTAGATCTGGCAAACAAAGTTCACAGGTTATCAGAAGAATGGCAAAGGGGGGATGTGCACAGCTCCAGCATGGGCTGAAGTAAGGACAGAACAAACATGATTTGCCTGAGCTGCTTCAGGGAAGGAAGCCTGGAGTGCCCGGTGAGCTGAGGGCAGGCCGGTCCCAGAGTGGCACAGGCTTGATCTCTCCTGTCGTGGTTTTGCAAGAAGCAATCTAGAAACACAGAGGCCACTGCTATTGCATTGGACAGGGGTTCTGCAAAGGTCGTTCTTGTCTCTCAAATGTGATTCAGATCCCTGCAGGGGCTGATATAAAGTTGATCCCTTAGCAAAGGCTGATCACCAAAGGCCTTTATGCCCATTAAATGATCTGACTGCACGCAGTAATTGGCTTGACTCTCTAGGCAAGTGTTCTGGTTTTGCTAGGACAGAGTTAATTTTCTTCTTAGTGGCTAGAACAGTGCTGTGTTGTGGTTTCAGTGTGGGATTTACTATGAGAAGAATGTTGGGTTTTAGTTGTTACTGGAAGATGAGGGACATTTCCAGCCTCCCTGTGTTTTGCCAGTTTGCACATGCTGTGTTGTGGTTTCAGTGTGGGATTTACTGAGAAGAATGTTGGTAACATACTGATGATTTTAGTTGTTACTGGAAGATGAGGGACATCTCCAGCCTCCCTGTGTTTTGCCAGTTTGCACGTGCAAAGGACTGAGCTGGGGGAGGGAAGCACAGTAATTAGCAAAACCCAAACTGGCATTTGGCTCTGCCAGTGAGAATATTCCATATGATATCACATCATGTTCAGTATATTAATGAGGGTTGACCAGAAAGCTTGGGGATTCTTTTGGGGATCACTCGGGCTCACTCTTATGGGATTGCTGTTTCAGTTTGGGGACTGTCTCTGCTCTGGGATCGCTGGCTGGGACAGGCTGGGCATTGGTTGGCAGGTGACGAGCAGTTGCACTGGACATCACTCATTTGAGTCTGTTATTACTGTTATCATCATTATTACTTTTATTATTATTTTATGTCAATTAGTTAATTGTTTTTATCTCAACCCACAAGTTTTCTCACTTTTATCCTTCTGATTCTCACCCCTGTCCCATTGAGAGGGGGGTGAGCGAGCAGCTGTTCGGTGTTTGGCTGTCAGACAGGCTAAACCCACCACAGCAAGAAGAAAATGCTGCAACCAAGGAGATGCCCAATTCCCAGTGACTGCTCATGTCTATGACAATTGTTATGTGTGCCTCTCACCTTCACCACATGGGTTCTTGATGAGATTCTTCCTTTTCTTACTCAGGAAGTAGAAGTTTTGCCAGTTCTCTGCGTTCTCCTGTGACTCTGCTCCAGTGAGGCCTTCCTGCTGGCACTTCAGGATCCAAAGCGCGGCTCCATCAACCAGGTTCTTCCACTGGCAGCAGACCAGGCGGCACGCCAGCACCAGATCCACTGCAGGTATGGAAGCCAGGATCCTGATCAGGACTGCTTCGGGGAGGGACTCCATCCTTGGGCCAGGCTGGGTGGAGCTTTCTGAGAAAGAGGGGGAAAGGAGTGGTGACACAGTGGTCCTCACACATGGGGTCCCCCACCCTCAGTGATGTCAAACACTGATACATTGGAAGAAAGGGACAATCAGCATGTTATCTGAGAGCAGGATTCTGGGGGTGTAGATCACTTCCCAACCTCAAGGCCTCCTGACACGTGTTAATACCTTGAAGGATGTGAGCAGATTCATATTTTATGTTCTACATGAAGCCCTTAATTAAATCCATCCATAAAATGGATTCTGACATCTGCAATTGTGGCCAGTTTGACAGTTTCCCAGGCTGGAATCAGTCCTCCCAGAAATCCCTGCTGCTGCAAAAATCAGCTTCTTAGTAATGAGTTCCTCTGCAGGGGGAGGCATCTGGGTGTGTGTTCTGCCTTTAAGAACCTCACTGATAACAAATGCTGCAGAGCAGCAGTACCCAAACATCAGTGGTGAGCATCTTGCCAACCACATTTGCAGTGATTTGTTCTCTATCTGGAAGGCTTTCCCTCAAGGGGCTGGCACTCAATCTCCTTAGTCATGAGCACAACTGAAAATAACTCTGTTATTCCTTTTTCTATGGCCTCATAACCTGAGCAATTAAGTCAGAAGCGCGTGCTTTATAATTTCATGTGCCAATTCTGTACTCTGGCTCCCTACAGCTCTCTGCTCCCTGAGGCCCAGGGCCAGGGCTGCAGGAATAAGGAAAGCTGAGTGTGCAGGTTCAGAGCCCGTGTCATCGGTGTGGGATGCAGGGTGACACTGCTCTTAGCTGACTGCTGGTGCTGGGCAGCTGCTGAGACTGCAGCAAACTGCATAGATGCAGCCAAACTCCTCAGGAGTGAGTTGCTGAGGTCAGGAGAGCACTAGGGACAAAGCAGGTGACATATCCTGAAATGTGGCACTGCCCAGTCTGGCAAGGGAGGGAAGAAACAGGGAGTCGTTACTGTACCAGCATCCTAAATCCAGTTGTTCCAGCTGTGTCCTCTGACTGGCTGCAGACAGCAGGAGGCAACTGCCATTTAAAATTCCCTGGCTGTTATGGGGGCACTGGGAACTTCCCCCAACCCCTTTCAACCCTCAACCAGAGTCCTGAAGGGCAAAACGGGATTATTTTTTTAATTATTACTATTTTTCAAAGAGGTCTCGCTGGCTTCAGCTCCCGCAGGACTGGCACACGCCTCCCAGCTCTCCGTGCTAAGCGAGGATTCCCCACGCACACGGGGAAGGGGTCGGTCCCTGGCTGACCCTCCTTTCCCCCTCCCAGCACCTCAGCACGGGTCTCCCAGCAGCAGGAACGACCCCGCAGCCCT